CTCTCTCCCTCTCTCCTCCTCTCTCCCCCTCTCTCTCCCTCTCTCTCCCTCTCTCTCCCTCTCTCTCCCTCTCTCTCCCTCTCTCCCTCCCCCTCCCCCTCCCCTCCCTTCCCTTGGTCTGTATGCTGTCTGTCTCTCGCTCGCACTTGTTGAGTTTGTTTTTCCACTTTGTACATGTATGACCGGCCGGCGCAATCACAGCTGAAGTCCCTTGATGCCGTCTGTTTTGCTTTGTTTTGTGTCCGAAAGGTTCCGGGTTTGTGCATGTCTCCGCGTGTGCGTGTATGTTTGTGATGGTTTGTGTGACCATAGGACCTGCTTGCAGTTGCGTTCGAAAGCGGTGTAGAGAATGAGGACGTGGTTGCTAGTCAGCTAGTTCCACTACTGCCGCAGTAGGAAAAGGCAGATGACAGCTTGGAGGTACGGAAGCAAATCCTGCAAGACGCAGAGGCCCAGGCAGGTTTGGACCACAGACTTCCTTGGAATCAGCTGCTGGTCTGAGCCTGAGCTATTCGTGTCGTAAATGTCACGTATTGTGTTTGACGCTTCTCGACGTTTCTAGCTCCAATGGACCTTTCGCTCTTTCGAGGCTGTGCTAGCCCGTGCTGGTGTACCTCCTGGTTTGCTGGATTTGTCGCGGCCACAGCGCGATGTTGCCGTGTAGGTGAAGACATTGCCTTCGGATCCTAGCACATCATCGGGTGTGCTTGTGGGGCGCTGCTCCTCAGTGCGTCTCAGCATTTCTAGAACGTCTTCCCTTGTTCTTCATTGCACTGCTGCTCAAGAGCTGCAGCCATTTCCTGGCAATTCGCTCGTTGTTCACAAATTACATGTGTCTCGCCAGCACCGGCTACCCCTGCGTTGCAAGTTATCAACCTTGATGGAGCTATAACGGTAGCAGGTTCATGCTCTTCAGACCTGAGGATCTGTCCAAGATTCTGCTGCGTGGCAGCTGTGGTCCTGCAGCTGTGCCATGCGGCAGGCGAGAGCATGCGTCGTGCAATATTTTGCGTTTCTGCCACATACTGCCGCTTTGCAAGGTTCCGAGACCAGACGCCATCAGCCACTACGAGAGAACAGAAGTTGTTGCTTCAAGAGGTTTTGCTGGCATCAAGCACGGTGATTCCTCCGACCAATCGTGGAAGATCGAGGATGGTGATATCATCCTCTGGTATGAGCGATGTGGATGCTGTGCAACAAGTGGTGATGCGGCGGGAGGCGCGCTGCAAATGGACAGGTGTGAGGCAAGCATTTGTACATACTGTGGCTGGTTGCCGATTCTGCCGCATGTTGGTTCGGGTCTGTACTGTGCAGCTGCTCATGGGAAAGAGCCACCTCGGACGAATACTGAACGTGCTCAATCATCGCTTCGGTGCTTAGGCTGGCGCCAAGGCTCATGACGTTGATGCAGCTTTGGAGGATGTGGACCTTTCAGTGCCTCGCTGGCAATCGCGATATGTCGCGATTCGGTGCGTTCTTTGTCGAACTCTTTTGCTGCATCTCTCCGACCTTGCCCGTCAGAAACCAAGGCAGATGCAGCCAAGTTTGATGTCCGTTTCGGCATCAAAGACGATAACAAAGCCACTCAAGCGATTTCGATACTTTCAGTATGTGATGTCTCTCCATGTCTCTCCCACCGCATACCGCATTTGCTGTATGCTGCTTGCTTTGAACTTGCAACCGTTTTTAGATCTAAGGCTCGAAAGCAAAATGATTGCACAGGCCTCAAGGAAGCCAGCGAATGCACTCGCAGCGACTCCTCGCGGCAAAATTGGGATTTCGACATCATGAAGCAGCTGGCTTCCTTGGTGAGGGAGAGAGACGGAGTAGTCTCTGTCAGGAAGTGCAGCAGAGTGCTGCGGCCTGCGAGAGCCACAAGGCCCCGAGAGGCCTGGGCCTCCTCTGGGCCTGCCTTTGACGGTTTTTTCCTGTCCGAAGACAGGACCCCAGTTCTATCGATGTACGTGGAAGAAATCTGTGCGCGGCTCAAGTTCTTCAACAGCGATGGTGTCATTCGATTCTCTGGTTGCTCAGGAGCCGAATCATGGTGATGAACCTGCCGTGCCAGCAGAATGCTACTTGGACGAGAAGGCGGGGCGGAGCAGATCTTTTGCCACCAGCTTGAGAGCTGCAGGAGTGCAAAATGAGAAATAGATGTAGTGAAAGAGAGGTTCTGCAAGGGCCGAGTACATGAGATGTAGCCATGTCTCTTGTCCCGATCTGTCTGCACAAGCTTGATAACGTGATGCCATGCAGGCTGGACCTTGCAGCACATGGGGAGACACTTCATCTACGTCCGAGTAGAAGACGTGTCACCACGAAAAATGGGCCGTAGTGTTTGGTCATGCAGAAAAGCACGGGAGCTTGTGCAAGTAGTTGCTCTGCATACAAGGGCTGCTTGCACACGAACATAATTTGTGTGATATGCACATGTCTAGGCCTTGAATGTCGGCTCAAGCATGGTTGTGCCCACGACCTCTGCAGAAAGTTGTTTGCGAAGTATCTCATCAATCCTTTCTCTCTTGGAGCGAATTACTGCTGAGTGTGGTGACCTGTCTGTTATACCGTACTTTGTGCCACTCAACTACTTTGACTGAACTTCATGGCCCAGGTTGGAATGTCACATTTTGCCTTGCTTCTGGGAGTTGCGCTGTTTGAGAGCTCGGGCCTTGTGCTTCCTTTGCGTGATCCGTTTTGTTTTACAGATTCAGCTCGTCCCAAGGCACTCTTGCCAAGCACGTCGGCCAACAAAGGAGAGTTCGCAAACTGGCCACTGCGCAGTGGCATCGGTGTTGAACAGATGGAGAAGATAGAAGATATGGCTGTGGAACACGCGAGGATAGTAGTGGATGCAAATGGTGCTGACGCCGACACTGGTAGTTCTCTGCTCAGACGCGAGGCGGGCAGAAGACGTCCACAAGCGTGCGAGTATCGCAGCTCTGTGTTTCTTCAATGACTTTCTGCATGAAAGCTTGTACTTGTACTTCCTGCAGATTACATAGTGCAAATTCTGACTCAGCAATTCATCGTGCATCAACTTATGCAAGAACGCGGGCTTGGACTGTACTCTGGAGTATTGCGTGATAGTTTCGAGCGAGCCGTGTGGTTGCCTGTGCAGGCAGAGCTCATGCGGTTGGACGAAGGTGCGGATGCATGGTCTTGCCGCGACTTTTCGAAGCGCGAGTGAGCAGCTACAGACCTGCACTCACCATTTGACACACTGCTACAAGTCCATCATGTACACGCGTTGCATCTGACAGTTCTATCTTCAAAAGGAACTACACGAACACAGAATATAAAGTTAAATGCATCTCTCGTTCCCCAAAACCTGTCAATGCATTCCTAGGTGCACAGATAACTGGCCGTTGTCGTGCATAGAGGGCATGTGTGCAAGCACAAGGCAGCACAACATTTGCTTTAGGCGCCGGTCGCGCGGCGTCTTTGCCTAAGGATGACTGTTGTGGCTAGGTAGTCTGGAGCCATGCTCGGCCTGTGGTTCTTGACTTGATGCTCTTTCTGGCATGGCAATGGATTTCCCCATTACCTTAGCTCTGCCACCCTTTTGTTCCAGAACAAGACGTGGCGAGCAAGCCGATGTTTCGTCAGGCAATCGATATAAGTATCCCATTGCCTGGTTTTGCCTACAGCTTGAGGAGCTGATCAAAGGCAAGCAGTCCGAGCTGATTGTACCGGATGCTTCATTGCATTGGAGATTCGACCAGTGCATATTTCGCACGAGCTAGTTGTGTTTTGTCAGGTCTTCTGATGGCCTTCAGTTGTGATGAACACAAGACCGCGGCGGTCTGTGAGAGCCACAAAGTGAACTCCGGTGCCTGCCCTTGCAAGAATGGCACTTGTTATCATGTTTTCGTGTTTGCAGCCATAGGTAAAGGGTTGTACTCGTCCAGGGTTCCGGCCTAGACGGGGGTGGATGGAAGAAAGTCTTTTAGTCTTGCTCCTGCGCGGTCGAACCAACCACATTTTCATGTGCAGAAACCCTGCAGAGCTTCAGAGAAAGTTCTGGCTGATGCAGTGCAAGGGACGGTCCAGAGTAAGGATCCGATGCATTCAGATGCAGCTGGAAGCCGTCAGTACCTGCCGGGGACAACCCAGCAGTGCCGGCGAATTGCACCCCGAATGCAGCCATCACGGGGTGTTGATTCCTTGTGCTACGGAGGCTCGCTGCGCAATGCTTTTCGCTTCTGCTCGAGGCTTCGTCGATCTTGCAGCGGGCTCCTGCGGAATCACCAATTCTACCGGGCCGGCACTCTAATCTGAAACACTGTCTGAATCCGCCGCGAGAAAAGGCGCGGGATTGCACTGATTGCACATTGCCCGAAGGACGTGGCAAGTTGGTTGAAGCGTCTGCAAGCTTCTCTCGGGATGTTCCCGACCTGGCTCCGAGGTGTTGCCAGGCAGCTCCGCTTGACTTCGCTGTCTCTTTGGAAGAGTTCGGGCAGCTGCTGCAAGGTCGGGAGCAGTTCAGTCGGGAAGTTGGGCCAGTGGCCAGTCACACTGGAGGCAGTCCTGTCGGACAAGTCTCGCCGGTCGCCTGGGGCCAAGATTGGAGCATATCGAACAGGAGGCTAAGGTTGCGTCTGAAAGCCAACCTTCTTTTTGCCACATGCTCGATCCCCTTCCGGAAAAGAGAAAAACAGCAATCGGGTGCAAGGCAGACCTGCAGCGCTTGGAAATGAGTCTGCAAGCCTAGGGCTAGCTGAGGTAGACGTCTCCAAGGTGGGCCTCCGCGCTCTTGCGTTCTGGGCCCCTTAGCTTTTGATGGGTCTCTGCCGCAGGCCTTGGCTCGGCTGAGGCTCTGCGCCAGGCGAGGTCCGGGCATCGTCTCCGCTTCGGCCTCTGCCTCGCCCCTGCAGGGACAGCCCGACTGCAGCAATCCATCGGCTGGATAGCACCGCAAGTGGTTTCGTGCGGAGAGGCTGGATGTGACACCCAGCCCGGGTTAAGTCAAACCCCAGACCATGCATGCATTTGATTGCAGTTGCTGTGCATGCTTCTTACCAGGCGAGTTCACGGATGCTTTGCAAGCCCTCCCGTGTGCTTTCTCAGCGGAAGAGAGGCAGGCTCTGCTGGATCCAAGCTGTTGGCAATGAAGTGGCGGGTGATGTCACTGTGCTCTGCCAGGCATCAGGTTGCCTCCCTCTTCGCTCCGCCAGGTTGGGATGATCAGTAAGCACGAGTTGCATGAAGTTGCACATAACTTGCGCGCTGTCACAAGCCTAGCACCGGCTGCAAGGTGATTTGCAGTGGGTGTGCTACCCTCTGTTTCTTCAGTTCCTTGCTGATTCCGACGAGGCCGCTTGCATCGGATACCGGCTTCCTCTGAAATGCTCCGAACTGCATCTTCTCGTCGGCTCCAGACAGGCGATTCAACGCGGCACAAGCAAGAGTCACAGAGAGCCACATAGAGTCACAAAGAGTCTCAGAGTCCAAGTTGAGCAGAGCATGGAGTGACATGGCTCGAGACGCGAAGCGACCCCTGGGCTGGCGTACCTGGCGAGCTCGTGCTCAGGTGGGAAGTTGCGAAGTTCGAAGCGGTAGGTCAAGAGTAGCCTCTGAGTCGACCCCGCCCAGATCGGTTTCAACTTGTCATATCACGGTCCTGAAGGGAGTTCCGGAACTGGAAGGAGAGCTGTGGCGGGGCTCCAGACAGCCATTAGATCGAATTGGCTCTGAGTCCCACATGCTAAAGACTGCACCCACGCTCCTGGACAGTTCCTGTCGTGTTAATTCGCCGGGAATGCTTAATTGAAAAAGCTTCATGGTACAATGCGCTTGACACGTCTTCAGGCATCACTGGAGGGCAATCTGTCTTGAGCTTGCTTACTCTTACGTGTTGCAAGAATGCCGCCACATCATGTAATGACCCGGCTAATACATGAAGACTTCCTAAATTCCGAGCAAGTTGCCTGCCACATGACATGGCAGCGCCGGGACGTGTTGATGATGTTTGATGAGTTTGATACGGGCGCGGATGACAATCAGCACAGGAACTATAAAACTACTGCAGGAGTGACTTGCGCACATTGCGCACCCTTTCGTGCTATTTGTATCCTTCTGAAGTTGCGGTCCGTATTGCCAACCCCGACCACGTGCAGGAAATCAGGGTTTCAGCTGAGCCGCGCACGGCTCGAGGGTCCGGGAGGCTTTTCGTGAATCTATTTCTGCAAACAGGCTACTTATCGTGCAGAACAGAGCTACAATGTTCGCTTTAGAGGAGTTTAGGCGAAAAAAGATTCTGAAAGAGAATCTGTCGTTCTGACGGAAGCGGCCCTGCCCTGAGACTCTCGGAGGTCGCGCACGGACATGAAGCTTGGGATGACAAATGCTGGAGGACAGCAGCTAAAGCTAAAGGGTCTCTTCAGCGTGGCACCGTCTTCTGCGCTCACGTGGAAGACCCGCTCGAGACTGGGCTGCATCTGATGCACTGTTTTTCGAATCGAGGGTAACCATGGGGCCATGGGGAACCCATCGGCCGTCTTTAGCCCGTCTGCATCCGCTTCTGCGCAGAACCCCACGTTTCTGGAGTCAAGGCCTGGCAGCGGACGGGATTGTGGCTCGGCAAGCGGTTTTCTCAGGTCTGCGGTCTGAATACAAGAAAACGATGGATCACAGACGAGGGAGAAAAGGGTCGTGAAGAATAATATTATCGTCTAGATGATCGATCCTCTGTGGTCTGCCCTGCTTCTGATGCGGCACCTTGTATTTTCATTTTGGCGGTGTTGTGGTTTCTGTGAGTGTGATGCAGTGATGCAGGTACAAATACTTGGTAGTCGCCTGGGATCACAGGAGAGACGTGTACGAGGCCAGACGGGGTACCTGCTGCTTCAGCTTCAAGCAGCAGCTGCAAAACCAGTGCTGACTGGCAGACATGTATGTGTGACATGCCCGAGCAGTAATGACATCTAGAGTTTTGAGATACACAGGCTGTAGGGATGGGGCTGAAAGACGAGCGCCGAACTTACGTCCGTGCATCATCTGACGTCGTCGCCCCCCAAGGCCTGCTGTACTCAGATCTATATTGTTGTTGACTTTGAGCGCGCAGCGTTGACACGGTTTGTTCGTGCCTAAACGCTGTCTTGAGCCGCTGTTTTTTTGTGCCGCCGCATCTTGTCTACTGTCTTGTGTCTTACTGCGACCTCCTTGATCATAGTACTCTTTCAACCCACCAGGCCGTTAGGACAGGCCCTCTGAGCTGTTGATGTTCCCATGATTCGACGCACCAGCAGGTTCGAGCATTGCTCCGTGTACACAAGATGTGCAAGGTTCGCATGCACTGAAAGGTGACTCAAGACACAAGGAAGAGAAAGGAGGATGATTTGTAAGATCTCCCGGCTGCTAGAGTACTTTCGCAGCATGATCAGGGCACGACGAGATTTGAAGCTTTTGCGGTGTGCGTTGCACAGGCCTGGGAGGCATCTGGCCTTCATACCAGATTCTTCTCAGAAGATGAAGTCTCAGCTGGAGTGCCATGACTGCTACGGGCTAGTTTGTCATGTCGGCTCCTCGTCATATAGCTGCTGTGCCCAGGTGGCGCTCTTGGAGGATGTTCGACAGAACGAGGCGCAAACGGACTTGCAAACATTGGTTAAAGCAAGTTGTGTTGAAAGTCGCCCGGCAAATGATTGAGATCCTTTCAATGTCTTGGTGGTAGGTAAGAGGATTAGTCCAGCATTGAGAACTGGGTAAAATCGAAGATTGCAGGCAAATTGGCACAAAGGGCTTGAAACCCCTAAGCCGCTTCTCGAGGACATGCGCAGCTGGTGGACAGATGATGATCTTCCACCATTGCCTCCGCTCGAATTCTGTGTTTCGGCTGATGAAGCTTTTTTTTTGCCTTGCTATGAGACTAGTCGATGGGCTTTGTGGCAGGTGGAGGCTCGGTGGGCAGTGCTCGGTGGCGGAGCGGTCCAGGTGCGGTTTCCAGAAGTGCCTTTTCTTTGGACTGTGCTGTTTGCCAGGTCGAGACACTGTATTTCCACCCCGAGTTTCTGGTTACAAGCCATATGGAACACTGGAGCACCTTGGAGCATCTTGAGGATTTCCTGTTTGCGCGTGTTGTCCCCTTCAGTTGATGTGCAGGCTGGCTGGGCCACTCCTTTTTTATCTACATTCGAGGCAGGACACCGGGGTTACAACAAACTGTAAGGTGTCTTTTCTGCGAAGGCTTAGGACGGTGACGGAATTCTATTGTATTTGGCTCTGTGACGTAGGCTTCGGTGTTTGTCCTTCCCCTTTGCACGTGGCACTTCGGCAAACTCCGCTTTTGCACTGAGAGAAATGTACCACTGGTGACGACAATGCTTTTTGAGTTTAGTTCGCCTTTGCGCATAAGTCCCGTACTGGATGAGGGAGGCCTTTTTGAGGTCCTTAATTTTAAAGGCTTCGCGTCGTCCGCCTCGGCCCGGCTGTGCTTGAAGCAGGTGATAGCAGGTGCATTGTTTCGGAAAGCAACAGGTAGGTCACACAGGTGAGGTCTTGCGTGAAGAAGTGCATTTGCTTTAGAATGAGTGTTTTGATGTCAGTATTTGTTTTCATGCTGAGGCTCTGAGCAATAATCCCACGCAAAAGGTGGCACATTCTCCGCATTATCCCATAGACGTTCCTATAAAAATCGCATTACAGTTCTCCCTACAACCTTTCATATGTTGGAAGGGGAATCGGGAATCAAGCTTTGCAACAAAGTACAAGACACAGCCCCAGAACTCCCAGG